ACTTTACCTGATGTTGGAAAAACAGCTTAAACAGTGACCTCTGATAGTACGTACCAACATACAAAACTTCCAGTTTAGATGCATTAATGTGAACACCCACAAGAACTCAAATTGCAGCCAATGTGGTACACTAACTCTTTCACGACCCATGGGACATATATTACCCACCTGTATTGCTCACCTCTAGAGTTTATTGCTAAAAGGGAAGAGGACTTAAAATACTTACCGATGAAGATCAAAGATCACAGCTTTTGGTGTGAATTCATTGTACCTCAATGTAAAGAAAACAAAAATCTTCACCACTGGGCAATAAACAATACCCATATAAGTGGAGAAAAGATTGAAGTTGTTAAGGACTTCATTTTGCTGGGACCAACCATCAACACTCATGGAAGCAACAGTCAAGAAATTGCATTAGGCAAATCTGCTGCAGTAGACCTTTTTGAAGTGTTGAAGAGCAAAGATGTCAGTCTGAGGACTAAGGTGCGCCTGGCCCAAGCCATGGTATTTTCAATAACCTCCTATGCATGTAAAAATTGGGTGGGAATAAGGAAGACTGTAGAAGAATAGATGCATGTGAGTTATGGCGTGTTGAATATTAAAAGTACCATGGGCTGCCAAAAGAACAAATAATCTGTTGGTAGTATAGCCAGAATGCTCCTTGGAAGCCAGAATGGCCAGGCTGTTCCTCAGACTTATGTTATGAGGGACCAGCCTCTGCAGAAGGACAGCATGTTTGGTAAAGTGGAGGGTCAGAGAAAAAGAGGAAGATGCCCAACGAGACAGACTGGCACAATGGTAGCAATCAATGATTGTGAGGTTGGCACGGAACTGGGCAACTAACTTTGTTGTGTTGTGCATAAGATCGCTATGAGTTGGTGGTACTAAGTCAGTGGCACTTAACAAGGGTTTCTGGAAGTCCTGGTGTGGTGCTGTGGGATAAGTACTGGACTACTAACCACAAAGTTGACAGTTCAAACCTACCACCTGCTCCTTGGAAACCCTATACAGGGTTGCTATGAATCGGAACCGACTCAGCAGCATCTAGCAACGGGGTTTATTGGGAATCACCTATCCCACTTTTAGTATATGTGGCTATCTGGTCAGTAAATCTGAAGAAAGTGGCCTTATGCCACCAATTCACACACCAGAAACTCCTCGGGACATGTGTCCTAGAAATTGTATTAAACTCCATATTACCTCAACAAACAAACCACAACTTTAAAAAAAATTTACACTCAAGATGACTTCCATTACACAGTTCAACAAAAAATTCAAAGCAGAAAGTAATTTAGTTTTGAAAGGGTTAATAGGAAGTGATGACTTTTGGGGGCAAGAGGTAAGTCTTGAATACTTCTTGTTTTTAATGTAATTTATTGTATTCTAATTTGCTCGGATTTAATAATGACTGTGTCTAACAGTTACTGCTTTACAGAATTCCTGTGTGAGCTGGTAAGGGTGCTCCCCCTGCAACATGTCACTCACAGATCCTGCTCAGCAGAAGGGCCAGGGATTTCCACACAACCCTTTGCCCTCAGGAAGCCAGGTCGGCTTCTCTATGCAGCTTGTAAGGGACAAGCACTGCCCATTTGCTTGCCTCACTCCTGCCCAGACCCAGCCACCCAGCGTGGGGCCACTATTGTGGGCAACACACGCCACCTGCTGCCCTCACACTGGGGTTTCGTGATCTCTGCAATACAAGGGGAATCAACAAACTGGACTTAGTTTTACCGCGTCCTTCTGGGCTGCTGTGGAGACTAGATGGAGAGCGGAGGCCGTGGGTGAGGAAGACTGCGTGACATGGGGACTATACCTGAAAGAAGATGCCACGGTACTGAGGACTGTAGCCTAAGAAAATGAAAAGGAAGATTCTGGAGGTTTTGGGTTGTCATCTGATGAGAGAATAAGACAAAACATTTTGAGATAGGCACACGGAAGTGAAACACTGCCGACAGAAGAGACAGCATGTAGCATGCCCGTGGAAATGCTGAGGACCCGTGGGCCAGGATATGCAACGCCTCCAACCCTCAAAGTTGCTTTTGTAACCAGTGCACGGTGAGCAAGGGGCTGACAGAGCACAGATGCCACGTGACAGACTTTATACACCCACCCAATGGCTGTGGACTTCATTTTTCAGGCGCTGCTTGAACACCCAACAAGAATGATGCAGACCAACTGGTCCAAGTAGCCTCGAGAGGCTGTCTCAGTTTTGTACCCCAACCCATACTGAGGGTGGATGGGTTATTTCTGAAGGAAGTGGCCAGAGGGCCCAACAGTCAGCTTCTCTTCCGTCCCACTTGGAGGGGTGAAGGCTGCAGGCCGTGTGGCCACTGCTGGGGGAGATCTGTGGCTTAGCAGCCTCTGCCCTTCCCGGGAAAGACCGCATCTCCTCCTGCCTGCTGGCTGCCTGCCAGGGCTCATGGCTCCAGAGCCACCCCGACTGCCCATCCGTGCACAGATCACAGGCCTGGGACTGACCTGAG